TTGTATCTAATCTACATGCACCCTATGTTCAACAACTAATTCAATCGCACGTATGAATTGATAATGCTATAATTTCATGTTTTGCAATGGAATCTCCGCCAAAAGCAAGCATAAAAAAATGAGTTAAAAGTAACAAAAACAAAACTGCAGAATTGTGCAGTCTTTATGATTATACTTTCGTATAGATTTTAATATATGGTTTTGAGTGTTTGTCTGAGTGGGTATTTCTTTCTTTTTCAACGATCGATATTCTTCTTTGTCGACATTTTTATCGGTTCTCTCAGTATGAAAGATGTTGAGAACAAACGGAGTCTTGGATACATTTTTTCCCTATGACGTAATCAACAATGACTCATTGGGGAAATTTGCATTGCACTAGTTTCCCCAAAGGAGAATGGCTGAACGTGGGTGCAAGTGGGGAAAAATGAACTATATAATAGAAGACATTATTCTACATAGGTAAAAGTTTGTAAAATTGAATATATTTATTTTTAGATAAATAACTATTACTACAGCAACATTTAGTGTGAATAACATGCCGCAAACATTGCATCTATCTCTCCGTTGCATTAATTACAATGACTGTTTCGTAACAGCTGGCAGGGATGGCTTAATCCTCAAGAACTCGACTAAAGAAAGCGCACTGTGGACAGCTCAATATTGTTTTCCATCATGGACCCTAGTTCATCAAGTGTCTTCCATGTGTCTTACTTTCAATATGGAGAACAAGCTTATCAGTAGCTCAGAAGAAAACGGGTCGCTGAAAGTTAAACACGGCGACCACCGATTGCTCCTTCGGTTCTCAGTCAGTGCTTGTGGCGTTGTGGGCAATAAGCTGAGCCTTGAGTTGCTTGCTGAGAATGACCCCAAGGGTAAACCTTTCGCTATCTTTTTCACTTGCGAAGGATTCAATCAAATATTTCCTCATATTGATACTGACTTCTTCGACAGCCATCCGACGCATAATAAGATTATTACCGACATAAGTGACAATCAATATGATTACATTGTGATCGGTTCCTCGTTTTGCTCTTTGGCCTTCATTGAACAAATTTTACAAAAGAATCCAAAAGCAAAAATTCTTGTATTGGAGAGAGGCTCAATATATCTGTTTGAACATCGCCAACATTACTCCACTCCATTACCTACTCCAGGAGATTTGGAATTAAAACCATGGAGTATCTCGCCTGAAACCATAGAGAATGAATATGTGCAAAAAGTTTGTGGGCAAATACCATTCCTTGGAGGTAGATCTACGCATTGGAGTGGCTGGAGTCCAACACCATCGACCAAAGAACTAGCTGGATGGCCAGAAGATCTTAAGGTTCCACTACAAAAAACATACTTTGGTCTAGCACAAAAATTCCTTGGTGTTATTGAAGCAAATGAGATAAATGCATTTGAGAATGGTAATTATCTCTATCGTACATTTCAATCTGGCTTAAAATCATGCTTGGATAGTGCTGATACTATAGAATCAGTTGACGATATTCGTCATGCTCCACTTGCTATGGGCAACGATCGGTGAGTTACATCTAAAATAGAGTTGTAGAAAAATTTTTGCTTTTACGTAATATTTTGTACTTCAATATTATATTTATCTTTTATTTCCTTAGATCCATCAAATTCTCCACAGTAGAAAGGCTACTATTGATGGAAAATGTTACTGTGATTTATGAATGTACAGCGGAAGAAATTTTGCATGATGGAAAGAAAGCAACAGCTCTTCGAACAAGTCAAGGCACTATCGAAATTCCCAATAACACCAAGCTGATATTAGCAATGAGTACATTGCCTGCTACTACACTTGTGCTTAACTCGTTCAAAACGACTGAATTTCCTCAACTTTCTAATGTTGGAAAGAGACTTACAGCTCATTTTGTCAGCTCAGTAATAGCTCGAGTACCTAGACAAAACTTATCACTTCCAGACAATGCTCCCGACGTTGAGCTGGGTGCAGTGTACATTTCAGGCATAACAGATGGGGCACAATACCATCTTCAATTATCCGGAGTGGCCTATACACAGTGTAATGACGACAACAACATTCATGATATATGCAAAAAATATTCAGCAAACTCCATACCTAAAGAGTGTATAGATAGATCCCGAGACGATATTGTGGTATCTTGCTCAACATTAGGAGAGCTGGATTACAAGAATAAGAGCAACCAGTTTAACTTGACCAACAACAACCAAAGCCTCACTACCAATGGAGAACTAACGTTTCACCTTAATGATCAAGACAACCGATTGTGGGACTTGATGGACAGTGTAACATTTGAGGTAATGAATACACTCTCGTGTTCCGCAAATGGTGATGATCTGGAATATTGGCATGAAACTGACAAAAAGTGGAAGAAAGATCCTCCTCCATCAGACCAAATACGTAACAAGAATCTTGTTCATGATGCTTCAACAATGTGGATAGGCGATAATGAAGACACTGAAGCACCAGTAGGTCTTGATTACCGCCTCAAAGGTGTGAACAATGTTTACCTTACTGGAGGAGCATTGTGGCCAACTGGCGGATCATGGAACCCTGTTCTGACTATTGTTGCTATGGCAATGCATTTAGCCGATACCATGTAAGAAAGTGCGTGTGATATATAAAAACAAGAATTATATTGTAAATCTGTTTGTTTTTAAAACAATTTGTATATATTTTTAACCTGTATCATATAAATCCATATTAAAATACTAAATGACGCATAATACGGAATTCTTTGTTTATTTATTTGTAGATACATATAATCTCCGATATACGTTTGTTAGTTCGTATTACAAACGAACAAATAAAAATCTCAAAAAGCTTAGAAACCTCAAAAGAACTCAAATACCTAAATCTTTTTGTCTCGTAAAAAACGATATTTTTGATGAATTTCATTGAATATCGAGTTTTTTATGTAAAAATTGCAAAAACTCAGTTGTTTTTTCCGTAGAAACGGGGAGTCTGTTTGTGAGGGGGAGGAGCATGTGCGGGTGTACGTGTAGGTGTTGGCCTTCTTATTTTTATTATACATACACCCTAATCGAATTTGTACTCTTTGACTACAAAGCGCAAATGAATCAGCATAAGCTAATATAAAGAATGATCTCATCATTTGATTAATTGAATGACGGAAATAATATATTAAATCACAAAGACAAAGAGAATAAGTAAGTGTATCAGGATGATTTAATGTATAAATAGTTAGAATAATAGAAGCTTGTAAACGGAGTAAAATAAAGTATATAATGAAGAAGAACTCTATCGATATATAGCTGTTGAATGAAAATAATAATATTGAAAAGTAAACTAATACTTCCAATTATGGAATATGGTATCATTACATAATTCGCCAAATATTGTTGAACATTAGTCAGTGTAGAAACTAATGACATATATATTTACCTTATCAGATGTTTCATTATTCTGAAGATTTTAAATCATACTAAGATACTCTGATATCTGATACGTTAGAGTGATTCTATGGGGAAAGAATCATCGCTATTGTTGATGAATAGATTTATATAAAAGAAGTAAACTGAAAGAATGTTTTTATTGGAAAAACATGCTCATTGTCAGAGAAATATAATTTATTATTAAAAGTATCTTATAGTGCATACTAGCTGGCATAATTATCACTGGAAAATATGATATTATAATTACTTACAAAAAATCATTGTCATAATTAACATGAGCGTGAAATATATTTATAACATTGAATAGAAGAATCTTGAAGAAAAACCTTTTTGTCGTTGCAAACAATCCTATATATCAAAATATTAATTGTTCAACTAAACTAAATAGAAATATCGTTTTTTTATAAATGATACTAATTTAATATAATATTCGATTGATCTTCATATTATAAATCAGAACAATTCGAGAATGCATCCTATTCCGCGATGTTGAACATTAGAGGAATCAGTTCCGCACCGGAATCGATTCCGTCCAATTCCGGGAACTCGATCGACACACAACATAAGACACCCAGTCAAGATTGATCCATAGATGTCATAATACCATTACCCCGGGTATCGACAGTCAGACGGCAGGATATCCTAACATGAGGTCAACGAAAGTAAATTAACATTCACTCCCCATATTATACCAAGGAGTAATGACTTCATTACCCCACTAAAAAATACATTCATTATAGAAGTTGAGGAATATGAGTGGATTTGAGGTAACGAGGTGGTTACACCAAATCAACTCATATTCCTCAGCTTTTCACATATACTTCATTCGGG